CGCTCGGTCCGGGAGCCGCCGGCGCGAAACCTCCGGCCCGGGCTGGTCGTAGGCGGCTTCTTTGCGATTGAAATGAGCAAGAACTCCTTCCCCGGGAGGTTACAGACCAGCGCCGTGTGAAAACGAAAGTTAAAGCGGGCGGACAAAAGGTTGTCCCTTCCTCCCACCTCCGCCCCGGGGAACAGCCCTTTCCTGCGGAGGGGGCACAGCAGCTGCACGTCGCTCAGCTGCACCAGAGCTGCGCCTTCAAGGTGGAAATGTTTCGGGCGAGGTTTTGTTTATTTTTGCCCCGTGGGTTTGAGCTCAGTAAATACACTTTCTAAAGGCAAAAGGCGATAAGTCGTACCTTTAAGATGTCAATAGTCTTAATTTTCATAATGTGTCAGAATTAATTCAAGTTAAAAATACGTCTTATATCCTAAATCAAAGCTTTCACTAGAGTAAGCTACGATTAACCTATGATATCAAGTAACACAGGCTATGCGTATTCATTGGATCTTGGACGCCATGGGAAATACTAGCCTTAGCCTTGGCTAGGTGCTGCTTAGCCTTAAAGGTTGCTATCAACTTCGCTACATCATTTCACACATACACAGTGAAGAACTGATAGTTTGAAAATCTGTGGAATCAGGCATCTCTGATACCAGTCAGCTACTAAAATGTGACTGCTAAGGTTACCTGATGCTTTAACATGGCAAGAAGTCAACGATTTGGTTTAGATTCTGAAAATGCTTATATTGTACTATATATGATATGAAATATGAATGGTTTTGAAGTTTCTGACCACTTACTGGCAGTTCGTTTATTACTATTAACTACTGTAGTTATTAATGTGTCCTTCATAAATTATAAAAGGAAGGAACACCTTTTCATCACTGACTTTTATTTCTATATGTATTGAGTTGTTCTGGAAAATTGAGATTAAAATCACCTCATTAAAACGAGGATTGATAATTTGTCATGATAACGGTACCGTATGATATTGGTGACTTTTACCAAATTACTGTTTTTTAGATATTTTCTCCTAATTAGGGTGTCCTGTAGCAGCATTTATTGGACTCTGCTTGTTACTTCAAATCTTTCAAGCTACAGTGCCTTGTCATGTAGTGCTCATGTTAGCCAAAAAGCCAAATGGTGTTGACATACTTGCCCATGCCTTCAGAATGAAACTTGGGGGGGAAAAAAGGAAAAAAAAAAAAGGGAAAAAAGTTGATATATAAATATCACCAATAATTCCCTTTCATATGGTGAAAGTGTGAGTTAAAATGCATATGCAGATGCATATATACACAAAGTGCTTGCATTTATACCACTTTGTATTTCTTATTATATAGTGATATATAATATATCCACACACAACTGCTCATGAATTTTAAAGTTTTATTTTTTAATATCTGCTATTGCACTAGGGAACTAAGAAAAAAATGAAGCTGAGTTGATTAA